GGTTGCGGTTCAAATAATAAGAATAATGGCGGTATTTTTGTGAACATCTGTAAATTTTGTGGTATTACTTATAATAATAATAGGCTTCTGTTGATCAAGGATATATTCATATACATGTCTCACAACGAATAATTCTGGGAAATCTCATCAGTCCGAAAGACATCCTCCACAATAGACTCGATAGTCAGTGTCATCTGAGGCCTGCTAGAGATTCCTTTTGGACAGTTGTTGTCAATTTCACCCCAAATACCGTGCACTTGCGGTCATCGATTCTATAAACCGAATAGAGTGTATTTTACAACTGATCATTTCCTCCGCTTATTATTGTTAGGTGTCTGATCTGAATTTCATATAAAATATATCCGGATATGCTCGCCATTACGTTATTTGATTTTACACTGAAATACGAAGAACCACGAGAGCATTTATCGTTCCTACAATCTATTAATAGACAATATTTCAAATCTTATTATTTGTAACCATCACACACAACCATTGATAACGACTTCATGAAGAAAATATTAGAGAAAATGATGTGATTAACACATTGATAGCAGATATCTTTGTGTATGAGTAGATGCATATTTCTTACTAATTCTTGGTGTCCAATAACTGTCGAGTGCTTTTCAGCTACTGTTATTGTATGGTGAAGTTAGTATTTCCTTATACAACCAATTATTGAAATCATAATAAAATCATTTTCTTCCCTAAAATAAGACTCAAACATCAATGAACTGAACTAACCAATGTAAACCTATGTGAAATACGCATGAGTGACTACAGGCAAAAAAATGATTCGTGCAAAATTCTGCTTAACCAAGTATACACACATTTTTGAGGTTTTATTTATTAAAACATCAAAAATGATGTGAAAGATGTGTTGCCTGAATGTTGATTGTATTTAAATACTGAGGAATAATAAAGCTTAACTGTCATAGACCAGTGTTTTAATACATAAAAAGTAAGTGCTTATATATATGTATTTTTCGAAGACTCCAACAAAATTGGGTGTTATAAAAATTTATCAGGCCATCTACATGTACACTCGATTAACGACTTGTCGAATAAACACTGTCAAAATCAACTAAAAAGACATAATAGAACGACTAGGCTGAATACAACAGTTCAGTCTGTCTTACGGATGAATGTACATTTAGTCGTATAGGTAATCTGCAAGTGGTCATAACTTTTATTTACACCTTGCCAATTATGTGAAACAACGCGTTTCAGGCTGAACAGCATTTACTGCTGAACTACTAATATGCTTCGAATCGATGTGAGCATTTGAATCACTCACACCACAGTTTTTCTGTCCGAAAAATCGTCGGTTCTTCTTGCGCTCTACTTCGCTGACACTTTGAGTCAAAACGATCCAAAGTTCAATCCAAAAAGTTCTCTGGAGTGTTTTAGCCGTTTGGCACTTGTATACATTGTATTCTAACTCACTCATATTGAATGTACACTCACTTTTTAATTGACTTTCAGCACCAACAATTATTGTCATAATAAAAAAACAATTCTTGTACGTTTGAACAACTCCCCATGCTCTACCTTTTTTGCAAACTCGAGCTACTATATTCAGGCAAACTTTCTTTATTTCTGTGACAAAGAAGACAAATGTGTAGGTGACTTACTGAAAAGCCTTCTGGAATAATTCACAGATAAATTCGTGAGAATATCGTTCTCGGTAGCCCAATTGAATAACTCAGAAAACTAGTTGTAAATTCAAATGATGGTTAGCCCACTGAGTGTGTATGTCCTGTAACAGATATTTGTATTTATTTATGGATTTTAACACGTTTTTTTAATTTCAGTGTGCGGGTCGTCATATGATATTTAAATTTTTCTGGCAAAAAATAGAACATAAGTAAAGGTCGGTCATGTGATGCCGAATTTTTAACAACAATAAGGATGCACTTCTAGTCACATTGATTTTATACACTCGTGATATCAATGCACTCTCTGCACTAGTGTAAAAGTATTTTGAAAGCAATGAACTGAATATATTAATAATAAAATCTTAAATGTAAACATTGAACACTGGCAGTCCCATTAAACGGACCGACTGTTCTTTATAAAATGCGTTATGAACAGTCTTTTACACGACATTACGACTGTACATTACCTATTAATTGTGACCTTATATGAAAAGAGTATTTAAATTTCGGTTGTTTCCGTAAAATCTACAACAGATGGAAATTGACGATGAGATAAAGCCACAAACGTTTTGAATCAGTAATTTTGTGCATCATCATGTAGTCTATTCACTGGTTATTTTTAAAAAGTGGTCTTACAACTTATTATTGATTACCTAAAGTGTACAACTTACAACAGCGTGATAACAAACGACCGTAAAATGAACAACCAAATATAATTCATGAGGAATATTACTTCTGTAATTTCATTATCATTGTAAAAACTAGCTCTTCGTGCAGGTCTTCTGGAGTCATGCCCGTGTGAAGGAGGAGGGTTTAGCAGGAGATATGCAAACTTGCTTGCAAGCGCTAGCTGAATCAAACACATTGAAACATCTCTACACTGCCGTATGTGTTGAAGAAAGAAATGTGACGCCTAATGATGAGATTGTTCAAGCCGACGCTAATGCCCATTCTGAAAAACAGAATATCAGCTGATGTAGGTGCACGGAATGTTTGGATAGTGTGTGAGAATGCAATGAGTAGTCAAATAGCAACAGGAATGAAAAGATACAACTTGGCGATACTCAGAGTAAGTGAAATCCACTGATGAAAACCTGGGTAGTAAGAATTAGTTTCGTGAGACATACTGCTGTTCTCTGCTCCACAAATACTCAAAGTTGTTCCGGTGCATTCTACAAAGGAAAGAGCAAGAATATTATCTGGTGTTATACACCCATCACTTACAGCAATGTTCAGTTTTACCAGAGACCGAAGTAAGTCATAGCAAAGTGCCTAGGATCGGGTCTGAATATCTCGATGGGCGATCTGGATGGACATATATTGATTAGAAGTGGCAAAAGGGTAGGCGACTTGTGATTTTATGTGCACTCAGTGTATTTTGATATAAGGTTGAACATTCTCACACAGACACACACACACTAAGGTACATGGATCTCATCAGAACACACTACAGAAAATCAGATTGATAATAATTGAAACACTGAAGGATTCAGAACGAAAATAAAAAAAATGAGAACCAGGTAACAAGCTGAGATAGCTTACGATCACTACTTGGTTTCGGCCAAGATGAAACTGAAGCCTAAGGAACAATGGATAACTGGAAAAACAGCCTCTCAAATGTCAATCACAGCCCTCCATCAACGTACTAGCAGAACTACTCCAATTCAACATAGTTCTCAATAACAGGTCTTCAAACTTACATTATCTACAGTGTGAGTAGATGAACGGTACAGAAACGTCCTTGACACTGCAGAGTTCCTGAAAAGATTGTCAATATTGTCCGGAATTCACACGTTGCACTAGGAGGCAAGGTGGAGGATGGAGGACAGATGACAGATGAAATGCAAATGAGAATGAGCGTCCGGCATGGCTTCTTCCGCTTTTAAATACACGTACTTCTGGCGTTTCAATGGATTGTAAAGGCCTGTGCATCTCAGGGAAAGCATGATATATAATTGGTAATTATATAAAATGTCAAGCTGAAGTGGCCTAATGCAAATGTTTACTAACGGTTAACGGAATTGACGTTAAGGTTAAGTGCATTTTATTGAGCTCAATTTGCTACGGATAGAGTGCCTTTCATATGAGTGTGTATTTGTGCATTTCATTCATTATTTTGATACACTTTATCGTCAGTCCTGTGTTCGAGCTCAAGTAGTCTGTCAAATGATTAGCACATAGAATATCGAGTGACATCGATCACTGTCGAACAATCAGTTGAGTTGAACTTGTCACTACACATCAACTTCAGTGACTACATGAAGGTTCTTGCGAGCGAAGACAGGAGAACATTATGGAAACGTCTTCGATACTACGACGTCCTTGAGAAGATTGTCAAGATTACCCGGAAATCAAACGACGGATCATGAAAACCCCGACATCTGAAGGAAAACACAGAATATAGTAAATAGCTCAGAACCAATTAGACGATTCGGACTTTGCAGATGACTTAGTCCTCTTTTCCCATATACACAAAAAAAACGCGAAAAAAGGACGGTATCGCCAGAATAAAAAAACTAATAGAACTCAGAACTATTAACAAACAATTTCAAAGTCAGAATCACCAAAACGAACGTCAAGACAGTCCAGCTGTACGGGGCTGAAACGTGTGGAATTGATGCAACCACGATCTAAAATGTGTAATTTTTTATAAACAGTGTTCTACGCAAGATACTCAACATCCATTCGCAAGATTTCATCAGCAACAGCCTTCTCTGGTAAAAGGCAAACCAATTTTCAGCCGAAGAGAAAATCGAGGATCAGAAAAATACCTGTGATTTCAGCAAAATTCATCACGAAAAAGGCGCTAACTTGCATTCATGAAAAGAAACGTAGGAGAGAAACGCTAAAGAACATACCACAAAATTGAATTGAAATTTAACATGAAATGGATGAAAGGCAACTGAAAAATATGAAAAAAAACTGCACCGGGGAATGTTCAGTAGTGAATGCTGGTATGCGATATACTTTCCTTTATAAGTGTTTGAATGTCTGGGTTGGTTAACATTTTGGTTAAAGGCCTTTTTTTTAAATTATAGCTGTGTATAAAACGGTTGAATTTTTACTCTCTGGGTTGATACAATATAATTACAGCTATCTTATTCCGCCTTCATAAGATCAAGTCAACAATAGTTTGTCACCTGGTAGTTACTTAACAGCGAATAAACAAGTAACGATAAAATGGAAATGCTTATTATGTACAATTAAGATGTTTCGACAGATCACATTTAAACAATGTTCGTCGGTGGTGAGACGGCATCAAGTTGGATATTCACAGCGAACTGACTGCAATTATCATAATATTCCGTGTACACAATATTGCTAATTTCAAAACAAAATTTTGTGAAACTCCGGTGAAGATTTACAGTTTATATTTTATGAAAACAAGCAGGCAAACATTACATATCATGTTTGATATTTTGTCCAACAAATTACATCACTCACTGCGTAAGAAGGAACAAGAATATACATAATTACATGAAGAAATTGACAAACGTATTGAAATGAATGATTAAATATTAAGCTATTTAATGAAATATGAAATATAAACAGTCGTTCAGAATAATAAAAGCGGGGCATACAGCGTTTCTGAGACTCATTTTAAGATGTTACTGAGAATAATTCATTACTTTTCTCCTTTTATACAACGATCTCCCAATAATACAACTGATGCATGAAACAAAAAAGGAGATGACCAAAAATATCAAAACATATAAGCACTGAGAGGTTTTCTTCTGTTTATCGTTTCTAGTTGTTTCGACAGTCGTATCCTGAAGAAAACAAAAAATTGACATTAGTTACTAAAACGCAAATATTTACCGGGGATCGATCAGTCCGTTCGGTAGTGTCCGTGGGGCGTTCAGTAACTTTTGTAGTCATCTAAATAAACAAAGCAATAGTATTCAATAATGGACATCAAACATTATTCAATAAATTCATTAATTATTACACACTATTGTCAGTAACGACGATAGAACGGAACGCATAAAATTTTGTCACCACATGCATTCACATAATGATTTAGAACATCTGCTACCGACTTGACAATCAATGTGATAAGTATGAACTATTCTACAATCAAACAACGACTCAATTTTGTGACGAAATGTGTGTACTGGACGTTACATCCTAAGACATTTCAAATATGATACTTAAACATACAATTGACGGTTTATAGTAGCAACTCATCAAGTTTGCACATTTCTCACTAGTGTCGGAAATCCTTGTTGAGGGAGGCTAGAAACTCTTCGTAGTTATCAAATCATGACACCCGATTTTCAACAGATTACATTTTATCACCGAAACTGATTTCAGCGTCATTGTATAATAATCGACATCGATATAGAGCTTGATGATTGATTTCTGAAATCACCATATATTGAGTGCGGCGAAAAGTTAATGTGTTTATGAGCACTGATGTTAATCCAAGCATCGATCCATTGCTCACTACTTCCGTACAAATAATGCATTGCACTCACCAAAGGTCACGAAATTTCAACCTACTCAAAGGTTTAATTTAGTTACTGAGGGAAGAATGTAAATGCATTAAAATAAGAAGCATATGACTTCCTTGAATGTGAATCCGATTATTAAGAATGTGGAAATTGGAGGTGACAAAAACAACCTGTGAAGTTCGAAAGTACTAACCTTAACGCGGCAATCATCCACTTTCATGCTATGAGTATCCTTATCATTACTATCAATGCACATGTTTATTCTTTCACACCAAATGCATGTTGTATTCAATGTTGATGCGTTGTCGCATGCTTCAGTAGAATTGTATTTTGGACAAAATTCTGTGAAAAGAATAACGTGATTTCCTTTCAGATTATCAGATAAAAGGAAGGCTAATAACAAAACACGGAACAAGAAGTCAATTGTATAATGGTGATTTGGTAGGTGAGTGAATATTTTGTTCATTGAAAAGTCAGTTGTTCTTAGACTGAAAGTTCATTTTCAATTATGTTGCCTCATCGGAACAACAAAGGTAGAATGTCATTGTACTTCCAATCATCAATGACATTTTTCTTGTGAAGATTTCAGTCGACCTACTATGATGCAAAATATGGTTGTGTGTGGCGGCATTCTGGTCTGTGTGCTGTCAGTCAATGTTCCGGACATATCGGATCAAACAAAGATCTGTAATGACAATAATGACAATTTATTCCACAAATAATGAAGGCGATTTTGTCATTAGTTCATAGAACAATTCTCTCATTAGTCAAACTGTTGTTTCAGTAGTGCTACTCATGGGGAACTAAAAACTGTTTATAGTTACTAAATATACATCTTTATAAGAAGGGGAATATTTTCATAATATGAGGTTAATTCTGAAACTGAATATGATAAACTGTAATTTAGTGGAGAGATCAGTGTTGACACATAACTTATGGTGCATGTATGACAAAGAAGTGATCACGGAAATCAGACAATCATTTTCTAAGTAATCGCAATTAAATATAGTGTTTTCGCAATATCAATGCTCCAGGGAAATCTTATATGTCACGTGCCATAAGAAAAATGGACACAGCATACTCAATGCATAATCAACCATCTGACACTTAATATTTTTCCAGGGTGATATTATCTCCTGTTTCATTTTGCCACTCTGATTCTAAGTATGTTTCACCAAATCAAACACTTCAATATTACTTCGAAATTGACTGTCAATCACTTTTAACATTCAACAATGAATTGACGTAGTTAAATATGGCAAGTGAAGCGTCAGTTGAGACAGATGACTGGATTGTATTTAATAGTTGACTAAAGTTACACATGGAATTTTCGATTTGATCAAACGAAAGTGATATATTCAAGTGTGAAAATAGTTAGTGCCAAATAAATAAGGTTCAACGTACTTCCGACGTATTCAAACTCCACTAGCGTGCCACTTTTTATCCATTCAACGGGAACAACTATTTCAGGTTCTTTAATGTGTCGAGTGAAAAAATGTACAAGAAATGACTTAAAATTTTACTACATTTATTTGTTACAGGTTGTTTTCACAATTTGAAGAGATTTCAAAATAAGACACTAAAAACATTCCGATAAACGATACAGCGGTGATTATCCGAAATCTCAAACAGTCATAGTTTAAATCGGTATGATTTTCAAAATTGATCAATGTTCAGCCAGTAAGTGAAAAATCATACTGATAAATTTGCAAATTATCTCACAATGACATCAGTCGGTCATCTTTGAAACATTTCGTTCAAATAAGAAATCATTATTTTGTATTGAAAATTGCAAGAGGCGACGCAGTGTTTTAAAGCGAAAGGAGAAAAGGGGCTTCGATTGCAATCCAGGACGAGTGTTTCGTCTTGTTTAGGAGTTGTCAGCTTCATGTGTCTGAACATCAGATTTAATGTTCACTTTGAGACGTGCACCTACCACCTTTCGCTTCCAACAACTTACCGTCACTCACTTAGCTACTCAGTTCAGACACAATGACCTGTGGTAGGAGGCGAAGTTAACATTCATCTCAGTATTTTTCAATAAAATCGCTCGGTTCGATCATCAAGACTGCAATTGATTCCAATGCCAGACAACATCAATCTTTGCTTGCAATGTTTCTGAACTGAGGCGTTTTCTCACATTTAATCATAAAACAATCTACTTGCCTATTCGCTTACACTAGATTGTCGTCTAGAAACTCAGCTTCATTTTTCAACAACGCATGAATATTTCAGTGAAGCATGACGGTTGGTCGGTTTATAAAGAAAATATCAGTTTCAAGTGCCACTCATTTATTCCAGCCTCGTACAAAACGCACTTTCATTTTACGATGTGTTCTGACTGTAGTTCCGTGTGTTTGATTGATTGAGTGAATAAATAAGCTGAATTATCGTCTATTTAATGTCGTTATTCACAAATCCAAGTCTTGATTCGTCAACTGTTAGGCGTTATCGTGATATTTCTCCTAATTGCCATCCACACATTTGCGATAAATGCATTTAAGAAGCTTAGTTATTCTACTTGAATTATCTGGTTAAGTCACAGTCAGGAATATGAATGATGAATATCATTGTGTATGAAATGTCTCACAGAGAACTAAAAGTATTCAGTTAATATGTTCTTTCCTTTGTTCGATAGACGCAATCACAAAAATCAAAAACTTTTAGGGTTCGAATTCACATGGTATTGTTTGCTTGAGACGTATAATTGGTGTTCCGGACCACAACTGATCGATCGCTTATTGACATAAGTGCACACTGTGCACATTGCCACGATATTGCCAAAGTGAATATCAAATCTGAGAAGCAGGTACATTCAGCAGACAAGTCAAAAATTGGACGAAAAGTGCTTAGAATTTCAGTAATCGGTTGAACTGTCATTCGTATTCTAATAAGATACTGCAATTACACTACGAGAAGTGTAAACGTTTAAGATGGTGATTGAAGGTTGTTGACAGGAAACCGTTGACCCAGGTTTCGTGTTACTTGGGACCCGTCAATAAGGTGTACTCGTAATCTTGTGGGAACTGGTGCTCCCTGACGGATTTGATCCTGTGTCACCCAGCTTCACAGTTACAGGCGTTACCACTGGACTATGTGAGTCACAAAACCCGGTTCCAGGGTTTCCTATCGGCTACTTCCAAACACCATCTTATCTCAACACAGTGCACGCAGCGTCGAGTCATCTGGACTGGCGGACACATTGCAACTCAGTCGATAACAATCGACCTACACTGAGAAAGACGTGGCATACATGACATTTTCACCATACAATGATCAATCACATGTGAGTGTAAATTTATATTTGACAATGAATACTCAATGTTTAGTAACATACAGACAGTGTGTACAACAAAGTGAACATTTATCTGACATTAAATACTCAATATTTTGTAACACATTTATAATGTGTACAACAGTGTGTTGAAATCGTTCTTCCAAAAGATTCTTACCTTGTATACAGTTGTCTATAAAAGCGATTTTCGGCATCCACTTACCTTCCTCAATTTTTGTGGGAATCTGAAAAGAAGAATTTAATATTCGAGTCAAGATCTGTCAACATACATCCTCTTATATCAGAACCATTTTGAACATTTGATTAATGTGCATTCATTCAGATTATCTTAATAAAAGACATTTTTACAGACTAACGATAATTACACTGATACTCTTGATGGAATTTCGTTCTCTGAACTGGATGGTTTGATCGTGAAGCTTTCATCGTTATTCTGAACGACATCATCAGCACGAACTTCAGATAGAAGTGAAGTGTTCGAATTTTTCTTTATGCCATTCACAGCTTGTTCTGTACACCTCGATGTTGATTGGCTCTTATTGACATTAAATTTGTCATTGTTCACTTTTTTATTTTGGTTTTGTCTCCTATTGGTTTAATTCTTGTTCCTATATTTGTGCATAAGTTTCCTGATTAGTTGATAAATCGGATCGATTTCAATATGTTTGTTGATTGCTAATTGACCTGAGTGCCAGGCTGCTAAAAATTGTCTTGTGTCTTGTTATTTCATCCTTTGGTTTGCATAGGATCGAGTGTAGTGATTTTGTCGGTTTGTGTGCCACATCTAACCCAAAAGTTTTCAGCAGTCTTGTTGCGGTTTCTGATATGCCATTTATGTATGGTAGGGTGATCCGTTAGTTGGTTTCTGTGCTTGATTTGTGCTCTGATGCTGCATGTGGTTGGTATTTTTTGCTGTTGATTGGGTCGCCATTCTTTTGAAATACTTCCTTCAGGTATTTTGCTTCCTTTCTTCGTGCTGCCAGTTTGCTGCAGTGTGTCCTCGCCCTCTTGAACAAAGTTTGTACGCAGTTGATTTTATGTGCTATTGGGTTGTTGATATTGTAGTTCAGAATTTGATCTTTGTGGGTCGGTTTCCTATAGAGTTGATTTTCTAGTTATCTCTGTGTCAGTTCTAGTGATTAATATGTCCAAGAGTGGTAGTTTGTTGTTTGTCTCCTGATTCATTGAACTGATACTCTACATTTTCTCAGAAGTAATCCCATTTAATCCGCATGTATAATCTTAATCAGTGGTCAATTTTAGTCACGCTTGATAAACTATTTATATTTTATGGATTGATGAAACTTTATGGTTAATAACTGCGAAGTTGACGCATTCAAAATACTCTACAATGATTATTATGATAGCGGATCGTAAGAATATGAAATAAATGTTGACAGAAAATGACATTTTTTCGCACAGTATTCTAACATACATTATCTGTTACTACGCAGAACGAACACACTCCCAATTATTTGCAGTTTTTAACAAGTGCTTGAATAATGAATGTTATTACAAAATTTAATGAAATGTCACAAAATCTACTCGCACATCATAAGATTTTGATCAGTTTCCGTCGTGTTTAATGGAACATGTTACATCAAGCATAAGTGAAAAACAAAAAATAATAGAATAATCTGAAGCACTTGCAACAACATTATATTTCCATTCAATTCTGCAACTCACATTGTCATAATAAAAAGATATCTTCCCATTTGGATATATCAGACTAGTTATCTTGGATGTAACCTCTACAATAAGAAGATCAATGAAACTTAAAATTTCGGAAATGGATAGTAAGGAATTTGTCATAGATCCATTCAAGTAGACGTCAAGTGAACAAAATGAGCATTTATCTTTCAAAACAAATGTTATGTGTTTAATTTTTGAGGTTGTGTTTCTGTTGTTTTATTATAGAAACAATAAATCACCGAGATCATCAATAAAATTTGATATCCGGTGAATTATTCATTAGGACGCAATATTTTCTATCACGCTCTTTTAAACGATGGACCCTAAGTATAAATGAAATCAGTCATAATGCGTTGGCTTACAAATTGAACTTGGGAATTGAATTAGATATTTGACATTTCAAGTAATCAAGTGATTCTGACTATAGTGTTTATTTGTAATAGAATTGAAAATAATAACTGTTGTTATGTTATCCTAAAGTTTTCTTAATTTCACTTGATAATATTAAGGAATGAGCATGCAATGAGTTTATGTGTAAATGAATAGGTTTTATATAGATATGGCTTTGTGATGAACATTCAACCCGATTCCCTTATTTTAAAAGAGTTTCATTAAAACCTGTATACGAAAATGAATCTTTGCATTCATTTACCAGCAACAGCCATTATATTACGACTTAATCTATCTGTGCTGATCAATATATTACTCATCACATCTGCCCTTTCTCAGTTCATTTAAACTACTTTTCAAGTCTGAATCAACGACATCAAACAGCGTGTAGATGTTACATAGATTTCACATGTAATCAAACGATAATTCAATGTCGACTTACGTGTACCATCATTCTCTTCACTTTTGAAAGTCCATCTAGCAGCAAGTAATTCCTCTGAAACAATGTAAATAAAACATTCAAATTTCTACCATTACATAAATGTTATCATCTTTTCATCCCGAGATTTGAAAGAATCGAGGAAAGTTCAAGAGTTACTTTCACTTTCACGAGGCAACGAAAGTTTCAATCAAATCAATGAAGAAGAATATTTTGCTTTGGTCACATCTGTTCTAAGAGCTTCATCATGGGTAAGAGACCTTTCATATCTAACTGACACAACGTATACAAAATCACTTTTTTAGATTCTATCAATCATCAGTTCTTAAAACTGACCCAAAAGAATCATATAACCCTGATATTCCATGTGTTATATTTTGAGCAAAGCATTTCGCACTAGTGGACAGTTTATGGACGTTCATTAACAAAGTGCCTGGGTTCGACGTTCCAAGCCATACAGACATGAATACAAAGATAGTGCTTAATATTAAATGGTCAGTTCACAGAAACTCAAAACATTTAAACTTTCATCAATCAAGTAAGTGCTAGAAAAGTATTGCAGGAGATCAAATATACTTTGATACTTCATCAACTTCAATAATCGAGACTGACTTCTCTTACAACATTGCTTATTGTTGCACATATGATCGGTTTGATTCATTTAGTCTGCTAAGACCTATTGTTTAAGTGAAACATCTTCTACATTGTTGTATTTATAGACCACAGAGTAGGTAATCTTCTCTTTGACAATAACATCAATTGATTCATCATTTCTACTCGGTCAATTACGCGGTAAATCTCTGTTTTATCAATCATTTTCATCAATACTTGTTGTGACACAAATGTTGTGGTACGAAAATCACGCAAACAAACAGTTAAATTTCGTTTATCAATCAAGTAAAATACTGCATGATTTACGCGAAATAAATGTGAGAAACGGAAACAATACTAAGTATATCTGAATAATGCAAGAACTCACTGTCATCCAAAACCTCATATTCAGAACTGTAATCGTTTGTTAGGTGACTCACAATAGTTCCGAAGTACGCTTCTTTGATTACAGTTATTAAACCTTTATTAAAAACATACCACTTGGTTAATAAATTTCAATTGAATGAATAAAAAATTTTAAAATAAACTGAACACTTTAATGATCTGCATAAACTGTATTTGGATTACTTTGAACTTTTACATTATTGACAATTTGAACAAGAAAAGATAACTAAAGAAGTTTCGTATGTTACGAGGAGCATTAAACTAATTCACTCAAGAAATTGAACTAACTTCAATTCTTGGAATAAAATGTGAAGAAGGTAACAGTAAAATTTTAAGTTCAGAAAACGTTCTGACGTACCAGTGGAGTAAATATCAAATTTTTTGATTTCATAACCAAAATATTTGAAAGGGGATTTCGGTGTAAAAACCTAGAATGATGCAAACATATGGATGAAAACCCTCGTTAAAAATATGTAGACAACTTACTTGACGACCAGTCAATTTTTTGAAACTGCTATTCACAACTGGATGTGACTGATCGAGACTAATTTTCTGTAAATAACCATATTGAAGAGACTGATTATGTGTATTACAAAACTGACTAATTACATACATATCGATGTGAATCATTTTCATAAATTACTTTCTCTGTTTCCTTTAATTGATGTTCTCCACAAATATTTTGACATTCGAAGAATTCATAAAGCAACCCGATGATCAAGTAAAGTGTTATCAACAGATTAAATGAAAAGGCGTATCTAAAATGATTCAGAAGAATAAAACAACGATATCTCATTGAAATAAATTTAAATGCTTATGATATAATCAGTGGTTGTTATTGGTACTTTCACACTCACTTCATTTTCTTGTTCAAAGTAATGAATCAAATTTTGTAAGAACTTCTTGGGTTTATATAGACTTTTTAAGTAATTTGTTGTTTTTTTCTGATTTGATGTTTAAAAGTGACCATTTAGAAGATCAATTTTGATAAGACCAAATGTTCATTGATAACCGATTATAGCGGCAGATGAACTCAATGTTCTTTTAGATATTGAAAACATGAACTGAAGTTTATCCACGATTGGTTTAAATTCTTGACCCCTATTGATGAAACGTGTCTTGAATGTGATCAACCGTGTTTAAGAAAAAGTGGTTGGTTCATGAACAAATATTTTGTTGCATTTTATTTGTTCATCAGCTGTCAATGTTGCATTGTTTTGACTTGATTGGTTAAAATAAAAATATCACAAACTGTTTTGATTGGATGTCAAAGTTTATACTTTTACGCTTGAATTTAATTTCAATAAAGAAATTCTGTCACATGATCTCATCATCGCATATTTTGAAAATCCAACCTCCGATCAAACCTTTGCCATTCTACCAGACTGCCATACGCCACAGGTTGTTTTCTGGTGTTCAGGTCGAAAAAGTTATAAAAATGTTTTTATTAGTCACGTAGAAAGTGAACCAAATATACTGAATTATGTAGACTGAAGTTGTCAAGTATTATAGTTGTAAATACAACAGCGATAGTTATACCACTAAATTAATATTTTTCAGTACTTAAGGTGAAAACTAATTTCCATTTCGGTATTTTAATGGTTTATTTCCACATATCATTTGGGCTTGCATTAATTCACGTCTATGTTTAAACACATGAACAAACCAATTTGATGAGATAATGTCTAGTGTACATTGTATTTGAGTCAAATATAGATTTTTGATGAGTGAATAAACGTCAGCACTCCAGTAAATGAACAGTACAAACAGTGAAATATTTGAGGAATGTTTTTTGGATGATATTCGCAAATAGGTTTTTTCTGTTGGTACAGTGTGATTGTGTTGTTTTAATTCGAAAAGATATCGACAATTTCCATAATTTTGATTTCTCAAATTGCACAGTCTCCTATCCAGTAAATTTTTGTTGTTTATTTTTGTAAATTCATCAATTTTACAATCCTTTACACTGAAATATTGTGTGATTTCATTGCCGTTGAGCAGTGTCTAATTATGATTAAAAACGTATCTATATATGTCATGGTGTAAATAAGTTTTTATGCTCTGTAAGAATATGATCCAAATTGTAAATCAATTAGTGATGTCTGTATATACCTACTTCTGTATTTTACATGTTGGATATATACTCTGTGACGAACAAGTTATTCTAGTTGACCTAGTCAATAACTTGTGTTCTCACTCATTTTTTCTAATTAAAATCTTTGTACAGATTCCCAGTCTTCTGAACAAACATTTCATACAATTACAGGTAGTTTATCTACTCACCTTATAATAGCAATAATAATTCCACCCTCACTTCTTCTTTGATGTTAGGCTCTCTTACTGCTTTAATCAAACCTCATAGTTGGAAAACGCTGTGTGTACTAGATAAACGTAACATGCAAATCAGATAGTTAAAGCATTTGTATTATGATATAGATGTTCACTTAGTATATCATACTGCTATGAAGACAAATAATGGTGAAATTGAAGAAAAAGCAGGTAAGGTTGTATGTGGTTTAAAGGCAGTTAGGAATAATATCAAATAAAGGATATGAAAGATTATACAATTGTACAATTTTCAGGTTAAGAAAAATAAAACATTTGAAATTCGACCATACCTAATCCTAATTTATTTCATGAAGCACCTAAATTCCTATCGATGGTGGCATTTATTTTTCACTTATTTACCTACATAGGCATGTTACACCTCGTGATGAGGCACATATCGCTCAACAGCATTCTCCATCCACGTCTGTCCTGGTTAATTCTTTCTAGTTCGTTCTAGTTGCTGTTATTCCTTTTGATGTCTGCTTCTGATATGCAATACAGTGTTTTTCGACCTTCCATTTTTCCGTTCCCTTTCAGGATTTTAAGTTCAGACCTGCCTCGTCGTGCGACTCGGTTAGTAGTGAAACATATGTACCATTCACCTTTGGTGGCTTTTTCTAGTTTTATATTCGGTCAATAGCTGTTTTTCTTCCCTTTCTCACGATTTGCTAATGCTAAAGGTAACCGTTCAATGGATATTAAGTATATCGCGTAGGCAATTTTTTATAGATACTTGGACTATTGCGGTGCCGATTGTAGTGGTAGAATGGGTTTAGAAAATTATACGTAAACATTTTCAAGTGCAGGTGCGCTTATAAATTGCAAAGAGTTAAAGTGACTGTGATTTAAATAGGACTGTTTTACTATTGACAGAATAGAGTGTCTGGAAAAACAAATAATCACTGTACTGTCTTTTATTTTAAAGGGGTATCATTCCCATTGATGTTAATCAATTTCACTGACGAGCAACACTATGATTCAATTTCTTGATCTGAAGTTAGTTGAGTTTTACATTCTACAAAAAACTACTCCTTAGCCTGAACCAAATAAAAGACAATCTTGAGGAAACTTCACTACAAAGCCTAGTGTTGCAATGACCTATGTTCCTTACAATAAATTTTTATGTATACAGGGATGTAGTCTGACGGTTATCGTATTCTCCTTGAATGATCAAGATGAGTGTAGGATAACATTAAGTAGGATTATTTCGTTAAGTAGATTTACTTACATAATCAGTGTATATTATATAAGTGCTTCATCAAAGAAAATAATTGCTTTGACCTCAGTTGTTCTTTGTACAAACAACATGATTGTACTTCTTTGTTGCTTATCATCGTATTATTTCAAATTAATCAAATCATATGGTTTGATCAACTGCCTAGGGGATGTAAAGTGAGTGTCAGTCGGAATAATCTATGTTAAATTCCAAAGAAGTGTTTGTATGACTGACCAACAATGCACACAGAACTTCAATGAATGAAACTTTCATCTTACAAATGATTAAATTTTCCTACACACAAAATAATCTAAAAATAAATAGTTTGTCCTTTAATTCATTGAAGGACATGCTCCAGCGATGAGTAGACACTGTCACCTATTATCATCTAATTTCATATTATTCTAATAAGCATCTCTTTAGAGAATGATCTAGTTTTCTCGTCCTCAGCGTATCAAACTATGAAATAATCAAGAGTAATCTTGATGCTTTAGGACTCAGTTAATAAATACATTCCAGGTACATTTGCTTTCAAACTGTGATCAATTATTTTGTTCACAAAGTCCACGTCGCGTGCTGTATATTGAGCTATATTAATCAATGTTACATGTTAACTCACTATTTACTGCATTTAACTGTAAAGAAAATGTTGTTTTGTGTTGAATATTGATTGAATATATGGGATTCGTTGAAACAGAACTGTGAAACGATGTTCATTTAAAAGTATTTACAGCTCTAAAATAACTCTTTCAATCTGTAAATTCTACTTGAGCAAGAACAAAGAATGTGTCAGAAAACCTGAATCCACCACATTTTGCTGTTACTATTCATCTGCTTACAACTTGGAATTATGACATCAAGGCAGTCCTCACCTGATTGATAGCGGTCATTGTGTTGATGTCTCAAACTACATCGAGATGAACAGTAAACAGAGAACGTTGAATCAAGTGCAGCTACCATAAACAACTGACATAAGATAATAAAAACCAATTCCATCTATCTACAAATATTTGGTTGTTGATATTGCCTTGCTGTGAATAACTCACACACAAATTTTTGTCACGCAATTCTTCTTTTCGTGACACGAAATATGAGGCTGTGATAAGCAAACTCATCGTTACCTGATGTTGTGGACTGATATATTTTGCTTTTGAGTGGGCCTGTATTTTCATTGAATATTGATTAATTTTGACTAGAACGGTCTAGTGAAGTGGACCAAATTATTTAGAAAATTACACGTCCTTCATATGTCTGCCATTTGTTTTTGAAATTGGATTTCGTAAATTAGCTAAGTGAAAACTTTATCAACTTTCAGCGTGTGAGTATTCAACCTTTCGATTTTGCTTGTAAAGTCTCTCATTATTAATGTTATGATCATGTTTATCATGTTTGATGATGGAACTTCATGCAACATATTCATGTATCATACAGTTCTTTAATTGTATTGTTAGGCAACACATAAGGCATGAGGTAGCCCATCCTCAAAAAACGGTCAAAAATAAACCGAAATGACAACAAGTGATTAGCGGAATATGATCCGACAAACAATTCACTGGATGGTTTCCAACGCACATCATCTGATTCTAATCACAAACATTC